CTATGCCCTGATCACGCCCAACTATACCTTATAAAAAGGACTAAGCGGTCGTTGCAAATATAATCCGGTTTACAAGTCCGGAGTCGAATCCCACAGAGAATTAACGTACTAATCACAACTTTTAGTTTAGCAAGAATCCACGTAATCAACTTCCAAAAATATTGAATAATAAATTGAGTGTTACTGACTAACTAACAACAAGGTAATTGAAAAGCTGTAAATTTTTTTTTTTACTACTGACAAAGAGAATGTTGTAGACAATATTGGAAAGGTCTAGGGTTGCGATTTCGCCTCTTATCGGAATCCTCTCTGTTGCTTCTCCTATAAATTCGCCTAGATACTCTCTACCGATCGTGGGCACTTTAGGTGTTGTAATTCTCTTCCAAGCAAATACAACAATTTACTAAATGTATTCTTTTGAACTACACTAACTATCACTTGTTTATCGCTCACTACGATCGCACTAAGGTTTCATTATTCCAAATCCCACCTTTATACCCTCCGTATTGATCCCTCATATACGTTAGGAGTGATGTTGTTCAACAACTACCTAAATATGTACCCTTTTTCAAGTAATACACACTAAATAGGTATAGCCGATTGAGGGCCCTTCAATCAACCATAATAATCACGTAGTTAAACACATAGGGAAAATTCAATGACAAATTTATATTAAACTCAACAAAGATTCATCCTCCAAGAGGTTCCATCAAACCCTAGAATAAAGAGTTTAGCTACTCATAATTGTTTTAACAATCACAACATAAGAATTCATCATCAATGAGAAAAAAGGGAGAAAGAAAGATAAAAACTCGTTTCTGAATCTTCCGTCTTGCTCCTTGCCTGTTCTTGCCTTCAAAATTCTTCTAAAAACCAAGATACCCTCTTTGTAGGTGAGCTGGGCTTCATATAGGTAAAGGAAAGTCGCCTCTGAAATTACAATTTTAGTCCTAGAATAATTTTTCTCTAAAGGACGTGCGCGGCTACGCACCTGGGCAGGTGGCGCATCTGGCCGCGCACTTTGGACAGTTTCTGCCTGACTTGCGCGATCAGTGCGCGGCCTCGCACCTGGGCGATTTTCTGCACTCTTCTTTGATCTTCTTTTTAAATATGCTAACCTCCTTCGATCCTCGAACAAACTCCCAATTTACTCCATAAGCCTTTACTTGGCCTTCAATGATCCATATTATCTCAAAACGCTCCTTAACCTCATTGTAGCCCGGAATTGCTCCTGCAAAGCATAAAATACTCAATCAGAGCAATTTACTATCATTTAACGCTCAAACATTAGTAAAGTGTAGCCAATTTAGAGTGCAAATAGTGGCCAAACTACATAGTTATAGCCTACTATCAATATCCCACACTTAAACCATTTACATAGACACAACCTCACTAAGCGACTTTCCTAACTCATCATACCAAGAATATTTCAAATAGACCAAGCACCGTAGTGTAACATCTTCACCTCAAGAATTGACTCACAAGCATCTCGCATTATTCACAACTTACTCACTTGCTCTAACACAGAGGTCAAGAATTACCTTTCCTTCATGAATCAAGTGCCCTCCCACAATAAAAGAGAATTGTTCCACAATTAATAAAATCATGAACAATTAGGAACTTCAAGATAGACAGAATTCACTCACTCTCAGAAACGACAGTCATGTGCCACAAAACAAATGCACCATAAGCTTGCCCGTAGTGTACTACTCTACTAATTGAGTTCATTCAGTCAAGGATCAAGTAGGACTTTTAACTGGTTGTAATGTAGGCTCTGGGATGGGTAGGATACATTTAGATATAATAGTGACTACACCTCCCTAAGCACTTTAATACATACACTTTAGTAGTCGAAACCCCACACTTATGTCAAACCATACTCTGCCTTCAAGGAATATATATTTTTTTTCACAGCAATACAACTATTTTCTTTTCTTTTCTTTCTTTTTCAATTCAAGTGGCTCTTACTTTTTCAAAACAGTGCACCTTTCTCCTTATTTCATTAGTTCCACTCAAAAGCCAAACCAACTACCCCACACTTTAACTTTTACAAAGTTCATAACAATTCAAGTGCTCATGAGAGGTTAAAAGGTTCAAATAGATGGTTAATTCAAACAAAGGGGTAAGGCTTGTAATGTGGTTGTCAAAGAAATAGGATTACAGGCTCAAAGTACTTAACTACGATACATAATAATTAGGCGGGTAAAATATACATATGTGGCTCAACAAAGAAACGCCTATATCACCTTCAAGACTGAATAAAACTACTATTTCACTTTGCAAACACACGGGAAATATTCTAGACATCAAATGCAATGCACATAATACAACAAACCTCACACACATGGCATATGACTCACTTAAGATTAGATCATCAAAACACTCTAGTCAAAGCACTTAAGCCACGTTAAGAACATACAATTTAAGGCACATATATAAGAGTCAACAACTGAGCCTAAGCATCGCACTACAGCACTCACTATTCTCAAGGCATAACGAAGTTGAGAGACCCTGTTTTCATTTCAGCCCATAGCCCACGGGTTCCTACTTCTAAATAAAATAAAACTAACTACACCCCTTTCAAACGAAACCCTTCAAAAAAAATCGCGGCCCAAAGAAAAATCGAGGGGGAATTGATACACTACCAACAAAAGAAAATCTTTTTATCTTTTTTTTCTCAACTTTAATCCCTCAAGAAACCCGTCGAATGATATCCATCGTCGAGAAAAGTCGAAACTTTTGAATTTTTTTTTTTAAATTCAACTAACCAAAGAAACTAACACTAATCTACATTACTATATATATACAACATAAATACAAGATATCCCCCCACCCCACACCTTAAATGGCGACATGTACCCATGTCACACAAAGAAAAACAAATGTAAGGTAAAGGAAACTTCCCTGATAGAGTCAGTCCTGGTCGGAGAGAGTGCCGGGGTCGAGATGGCAAGCCCTACCAAGTGCACGCAGCCATGCCATAACCCTCCTCTCAGATGTTGCATTTTGGGTAGCAAGGGCATCCACTCTAGCTCCCAAGTCCGTGACAGACGTACGCAAACCTGCCATTTCCTGCTCTAAGATCGTCATTCCCGTGTCCCATTTGACAACTGATGTTCCTTCAGCAACCTGCTCGTGCGGGGGCGAAGCGGCCACAGCCTCAGCTTGCACTTTATTACCCTCATTTGGAGCATCAGACTCATCGTTATTTGCCTCAACGGGTGCAACAGGATCCTTCCCAATTACCATTTTATCAGCCTGAAACTTCTGTTCTTTTTTTACTTTCCCATCCAAGTTCTTATTTTTCGGTACACGTGCCGCACGACATAATCTAGTGATTAAGGAAGGAAAGAAGAACCCATACCTTTGCACCGGACAACGAATGAACATTTTGTCGTGAATAACCTTAGCCACATCAAAATCATGGCCAGTGATAAAACATCAGATCAGTGCAGCCCGGGGACCATTCACCTCAGTGGTATTAGAAAATGGCAGCAGGCGGCTATTGATGACATAGAGCCAACACTTCCCTTCAAAGGTAAGCGATGCCGAATGAAACTTTCGCCCCTGCTTAATCCACACTACTTCCTTGTTGGGCATACATATTATTCTAAAGAACAAATTCCACGAGGTTGGTTCTCTGCTATAGGTGTCATAATAGTCCCCCGCTTCAGAATTTATCCCAAACACTGGCAACCGGTAAGCCCTCCTAATGGCCTCGATGGATGCATCCATACTCTTCTGTCGAACCGTGCAGACATGGTTCACATGTTCCGGGCAGTTCGCTTAAAACTCCCGCACAATCATTAAATTGGCTTCATCAGGTTCTTCAAAGAATATACCCAGCCCGCTCCGAACCAATTCACGATATATATTGGGACAGTCATTTTGGAGGGACCCCATATCAATTCCCTCTCTAGTATGGGTTTCTTAGGAGCCTTATGACCAAAACGTTCCTGGGCCGCGCTTGATACAAACTTGGTACTATCATACTGGGGCACATGGCCGATGCCCGTGTAACTCATCAAGCGCGGGTAACTCAGTGACTCTACTTGTACCCGCCTATTCTACGTCAAGATTCAACTGCCTCAATGCCCACCAGGCTCTATGCTCCAACTCCACTGGTAAGTGACACGCCTTCCCAAATATCAATTTATACGGCGACATGCCAATTGACATTTTAAAAGCGGTACGATAGGCCCAGAGTGCATCATCTAACTTTCTCGCTCAATCCATTCTTGTAGAATTCACGGTCTTTGTCAAAATGCTCTTTATCTCTCTGTTCAAAACTTCCACTTGCCCACTTGTTTATGGGTGATATGGGGTGGCAACCTTGTAGCGTACACCATATTTTTCTAACAACTTTGCGAAGGCTCGGTTGCAGAATTGAGTGCCTTCATCACTGATTATTGCCCTTGGAGTGCCAAATCAGGTGAAGATGTTCTTTCTCAAAAAACCAATGACCCCCTTTGCATCATTTGTAGGGAGCGTTGCAGCCTCTACCCATTTTGACACGTAGTCCACACCTACAAGTATGTACTTGTTGCCATATGAGCTGACAAAAGGCCCCATTAAATCGATTCCCCATACATCAAACACTTCTACCTCCTGAATTGGGTTCATGGGCATCTCATGTCCGCGGGAAATGTTCCCGGTTCGTTGGAATTCATCATAACCCTTCACCCAGAAGTGTGCATCTTTGAACAATGTCGGCCAATAAAAGCCCGACTCCAACACTTTTGCAGTTGTCCTTACTCCCCCAAAATGGTCGCCATATGGGGATACGTGACAAGCAGGCAAAATAGAAGATTGGTCTATCTCGGGGATACATCTCCGGATCATGTTATCAATACAAATCTTGAATAGATAAGGCTCATCCCAATAATACATGTGACAGTCACGAAAGAACATTTTCTTTTTGACAGAGAAAAGGTCATAGGGGACAATACCACTTGCCAGGTAGTTTGCAATATCTGCATACCATGGCGCTACCTCCAGGCTCATAGCCAACAGTTGTTCATCCGGGAAAGTCTCCACAATCTATTCTGTCTCAGCCTTCTTCCTTCCAGCCTAGACAAGTGATCAACCACTTGGTTTTCCGTTCCCTTTCGGTCACGGATTTCCAAGTCAAATTCTTGCAGCAGTAGCACCCATCGAATTAGGCGCGTCTTTGATTCCTTCTTCTCAATTAGGTACCTGAGTGCACTATGGTCAGTATAAACAATTACCTTCGATCCTATCATGTATGACCTGAACTTGTCAAATGCGAACACCAGTGCTAGCATCTCCTTCTCGATCACTGTGTAATTTAGTTGGGCACCACTCAAAGTTCTACTTGCGTAGTATATTGGATGCATGACTTTATTTTTCCGCTACCCAAGGACTGCTCCTACCGCGTAGTCGCTTGTATCACACATCAGCTCAAATGGTTTCTCCCAGTCGGATGCAACTATGATAGGTGCTAACACCAGCCTCTTCTTCAATTCCTCAAAAGCTACCCTGTAATCTTCAGAAAATGCAAAAGGGTGATCTTTTTCAAGCAATTTACACAACGGGTTAGCAATTTTGGAAAAATCTTTTATAAACTGCCAGTAGAAACCGGCGTGGCCAAGGAAACTTCTTATTGCCTTGACGGAAGTGGGTGGTGGCAACCTTTCTATTACATCAACCTTTGCGCGATCCACTTTAATTCCCTTGCTTGACACTAGGTGCCCCAAGACTATACCTTCCTGCCATGAAATGGCACTTTTCCCAGTTTAATACTAGGTTAGTCTCCATATACCTTTTCAATACTCTTTTCATGTTTATAAGGCAGTCATCGAATGTGTTCCCCACTACTGAGAAGTCATCCATGAAAACCTCCATTATTTCCTCTACCATATCTGTAAAGATGGCCATCATGCAACTCTGGAATGTGGCGGGTGTGTTGCATAGACCAAACGGCATTCTTTGAAAGGCATAGATGCCATATGGATAGGTGAATGACGTTTTCTCTCTATCCTCTTGAGCAATAGAGATCTGATTATACCCTGAGTATGTATCCAAAAAGCAAAAGTGAGACCTCCCTGCCAATCTATCTAGCATATAATCAATGAATGGCAGTGGGAAATGGTCTTTCCGGGTGGCCTTGTTCAACCTTCTGTAATCCATACATATTCGCCATCCCGTGACTGTTTTTGTTGAGATCAACTCGTTATTCTCATTTTGCACTACAGTCATTCCACCCTTCTTTGGCACACACTGAAATGGGCTGACCCAATTACCGTTAGAGATGGGGAAGATGATTCCCGCATCTAACCACTTGATCACTTCTTTTTTCACCACTTTTTTCATGTTGGGGTTCAGCCTTCTTTGATGTTCTTATGAAGGTTTGTGCCCATCTTCCAGTAGAAGCTTATGCATACAAAATGCCGGATTGATACCCTTAATATTTGCAATGGTCCAACCAATTGCAGTCTTGCATTCCATTAACACCTGCAAAATTTATTCTTCCTGCACATCTAACAAATTAGATTAGATAATAATAGGTAAAGCTGAGTTAGGTCTCAAGAAGGCATACCTGAGGTGAGTCGGTAACGGTTTTATCTCCAACTGTGGTGGTTCTTCAATTGATGGCTTAGCTGGAGGGGTTTTTCTTTCTTCTAAGTGTAAAGGCTCGAATTCGAGCTCTCTTTTCCAGTACCCTTGCCCTTCAAGGGCCAAAACCCACTCCGCCAAGTCCTAACCATCCACCTCTTCTAAGTTCATGAGGCAGGTTGCTAGAGGGTCTTTTGCATTCAGAGTCTCATCTTCCTCCTCCAAAATCACATTCACAGCTTCTATCAGATATCAGTTAACAAACTCGCTGGGTCGCCGCATAGATTTCTGCACATTGAATGTTATCTCTTTATTGTTCAGTCTTATATTTAGCTCCCCAGTTTCACAATCAATTAGAGCTCTCCTAGTGGCCAAGAATGGCCTTCCCAAAATTATGGGAATCTCCCCATCAACCCGGCAGTCCAGAATGACAAAATCTGCCGGAAACACGAACTTTCCAAGTTGCACCAGCACATCATCAAGTATACCTGATGGCCTTTTCATTGTTCGGTCGTCTAGCTGTAGTAACATGTATGTGGGTCTTGCTCTTCCAATGTCTAACCTTTTATAGATATCCAAGGGCATCAAATTTATGCTCGTCCCCAAATCACAAAGTGCTTTAGCAAAAGCTTAGTTGCCTATTGTGTATGGGATTCTGAAACTCCCTGGGTCGGACAGCTTCTCAGCTATGGGTCTTGTCACGACAGCACTACATGTCTGAGTTAGTGTAACCGTGGCCAAGTCTTGAAAGTCGAACTTACGAGACATCAAGTCCTTCATCATTTTTGCATAACCAGGCATCTCCTTCAAGGCGTCAATCAATGGAATGTTCACCTGGATTTGCTTCAACATCTCCATGAATTTCTTATACTGCTCATCTTTCTGATATTTGGCCAATCTTTGGGGGAAGGGTGTTGGAGGCCGCTTCTTTCCTGTGATTTGAGTTTGAACCTGCTCGGGCACTGTTTCTACTTCCTTCTCTTACACTAACTCAGTTTCCTTCGCAACCACTTTTTCTTTGCTTTATTCAGCTGGTGCATGTTGTATCGTCACCTCCATTAACGTTGTTGAATTATCTACCTTGATTGGTACTGGCACAAGTGTTTCATTTGGTCGGCTTTCGTGAGCAATTTCTTGCTCTAGATCAAGATCTCTACCATTTCTTAGACTCACCGCCATAAGCGGCTTCGGGCCCTGCTCTTCTGGATTGACATGCTTGTTTGTGGGAAACGTCCCTTGAGGATGATTATTCAGTGCCATGGATAACTGCCTTAATTGTATCTCAATGCCTTTTATCACTGAGTCATGTACTTCGACTTTCTCTTGCATTTTTCCATTGGACCCAATCAGTTGTTGCAGCATTCCTTTAATTTCAGAAAACTTGTCTTCTTGTCTTACTATCTGTTGTTGTTGAGGTTGTTGATAAGCTAGCTGCTGATTTCGCTAATTGTACCCATGTTTCCTTTGGTAAGGTACAACTTGACCGTGTGGTCTCATAGCTTCAGGATTGTTGCCATTATTATACTGTTGTTGTGCTGGTCTATATTGCTGATTCTGCTGCCCCCAATTCTGACCACCTTGCCTTTGTCCTCCATACTTGTCCACATAGTTCATATTTTCTTGATAGTTCTGGTTATCACTTTCTGCACTCCATGAGCATAAATACGGTTGGTTAATGCATGGTGTACATAATCCCCCATTAGTCATGTCAACTATATGTGCATGATGCTTCTGGACTGATTCATCAATCTTTTTGGTGAGGATACTCATTTGCGTCATCAGAGTGGCCATATTCTTGGCTGTGGAGTTGTTTGGGTCCAAAGCCACTGAGTGAATGACAGGAGTGATCGTAGAGTATCTTGTCATCCATCCTCAGTATTGAGCCATTTTATCAAGTAAGATCATGCATTCTCTGAATGATTTGCTCAAAAATGCTCCTCCTGCTGAAGCATCAACATTGGCCTTCAAGCTGTCTGCCAATCCCATGTAGAACCTTTGGCCCAACATCTGATCTGGAATGCCATGACGAGGACACTTAACTAGCATACCTTTGAACCTCTCCCACATTTATTGTAGTGTTTCTGTTGGTCTCTTTCTGAAGCTCAATATCTCATCAACTTGTTTGGCAGTCTTATTAGGTGGGTAGAGCTTGTTCATAAATTGCTTGACTAATTCCTCCCAAGTAGTGATGGAGTTTATGGGGAGTGAATTGAGCGAAGTCTGAGCCTCTCCCGTCACCGAGAATGGAAAAAACAACAACCTTATTGCTTCCGGTGTCACATTTGGTTGCCTTTGCGTGACACATATCGATAGGAAATTTTTCAGATACTGCTGAGGATCTTCAATGTAAGACCCTGAGAACAGTCCCTTGTTCTGCAACAAATGTAGCATGTTGTTTGAGATTTGAAATGATTCTACTTGTATTTGAGGGACTACAATTGCGGTTGCCAGATTTTCGGCGGTGGGTTGTGCCCAATCATACAAGGCTGCTTCTGGCACAAGAGGCACCACACTCTGGTCATTCGCATTATTTCTGTTGTTTAGATTTTCTATTACATCTTCCATGTCTGGTTCGCTTCGTTCTGTTGAGTTCTGTTGTTGTTTGTCTTTCTTGTTCGCACGATTCAATGCCTTGAAAACTTTCTCAGGTCTAATAATGCTTCGAACAATTCACCAGTTCTTGAGGAGTTTTCAGGCATGCACTTGTAGCACCCAAGACTACAAACGTTAGAATTTCAATGTATTTAGTTTAAAATGAAGAAAATTGACAACACTAAGAATTCTAGAACTTTTGTTTTGCTGCAATTAATAACACTGTTAAAATCTCCGGCAACGGCGCCAAATTTGATCACGCCCAACTATGCCTTATAAAAAGGACTAAGTGGTCATTGCAAATATAATCCGGTTTACAAGTCCGGAGTCGAATCCCACAGAAAATTAACGTACTAATCACAACTTTTAGTTTAGAAAGAATCCACGTACTCAACTTCCAAAAATATTGACTAATGAATTGAGTATTACTGACTAACTAACAACACGGTAATTGAAAAGCTGTAATTTTTTATTTTTACTACTGATAAAGTGAATGTTGTAGACAAGATTGGAAAGGTTTAAGGTTGCGATTTCCCCTCTTATCGGAATCCTCTCTGTTGCTTCTCCTATAAATTCGCCTAGATACTTTCTACCGATTGTGAGCACTTTAGGTGTCATAATTCTCTTCCGAGAAATACAACAATTTACTAAACGTATTCTTCCAAACTACGCTAGCTAGCACTTGTTTACCGCTCACTGCGATCGCACTAAAGTTTCGTTATTCCTATTCCCACCTTTAAACCTTCTGTATTGATCCCTCATATACGTTAGGAGTGATGTTGTTCAACAACTACCTAAATATATACCCTTTTCTAAGTAATACACACTAAATAGGTATAGCCGATTGAGGGCCCTTCAATCAACCACAATAATCACGTAGTTGAACACGTAGGGAAAACTCAATGGAAAATTTATATTAAACGCAACAAAGATTCATCCTCCAAGAGGTTCCATCAAACTCTAGAATAAAGTGTTTAGCTACTCATAATTGTTTTAACAATCACAACCATAAGAATTCATCATCAATGATAAAAAAGGGAGAAAGAAAGATAAAAACTCGTTTCCGAATCTTCTATCTTGCTCCTTGCCTGTTCTTGCCTTCAAAATTCTTCTAAAAACCAAGATACCCTCTTTTTGGGCGAGCTGGGTTTCATATACATCAAGGGCAGTCACCTCTGAAATTACAATTTTAGCCCTAGAATAATTTTTCTCAAAAGGACATGCACGGCCGCGCACCTGGGCAGGTGACCACGCATCTGGCCGCGCACTTTGGCCAGTTTCTGCCTGACTTGCGCGGTCAGTGCACGGCCTCACACCTGGGCAATTTTCTGCACTCTTCTTTGTTCTTCTTTTTAAATGCGCTAACCTCCTTAGATCCTCGAACAAACTTCTAATTTACTCCATAAGCCTTTACTTGGCCTTCAACACTCCATATTATCTCAAAACGCTCCTTAACCTCATTGTAGCCCGGAATTGCTCCTGCAAAGCATAAAATACTCAATCAGAGCAATTTACTATCATTTAACGCTCAAACATCAGTGAAGTGCAGCCAATTTAGAGTACAAATAGTGGCCAAACTACATAGTTATAGCCTACTATCATGCCCCCACTCTCAAAGCAACCCCTCGGCTGCTGAAACGAGGACTAACCCTGACGGTCTGAATAGTCTCTGTAGTAGCTCTGGAGTGGTGGTGCACTGATAGGAGCTGAATGTGCACTGAATGCTGGCTACTCAGAACAAGACCCGTAAGAACCACGACCGCCCGAAGCACCATGGGCTACCTGAAGAGCTGACTGAAACGGCATAGAAGGATGGCCTCTACCAAAAGAACCCCAGCCTCCAGATGTGGCACCACTAAACCCACTGAAGTGACGGGGCCTCTTATCTGACACCGGCCCCCTCTCTTGAGCGCGAACCAACTTGATCCGTCTCTCAATATCTACGACTGTCCGGAAAGAAATGTCACTTCCTGTCTCCTTGGCCATCTGAAGCCTGATAGTGTAAGTGAGCCCATCAATAAATCTCCTCACTATATCCCTCTCAGTAGGTAGCAAGATGGTGGTGTGGCGAGCTAGGTCCACAAATCGAGTCTCATACTGGGTGACGGTCATACTACCCTACTGAAGACACTCGAACAGCCTGCGGTACTCCTCTCTCAAAGTGACAGGAATGAACTTCTCTAGAAATAGTTGTGAGAACTTATGCCAGATAGGCGTTGGCGACCCAGCTGGTCTAGTCAACATATAATATCTCCACCATCTCCGGGCGAAACCAGTCATCTGAAATGCAGCAAAATCGACCCATTGGTCTCAACTATACCCATGTCCCACATCACCTCGTAGCAACAGTCCAAAAAATCCTGTGGGTCCTCGGAAGGTGCACCACTGAAGTGAACTGAAAAGAGCTTGGTAAACTTGTACAATCTCAACAAAGCCTCAGAAGACATGGCAGGCCTATCACTGTACTGTGTCGCAACAATCGGTTGAACTACCCCAATTGTGGGGGCTGTTGGAGTCTGATACTGGGGAGCCATCGGCTCCAGAGTGTGAGTGGCAGGATTTTGTGCTTCTCCCCCAGCCCGTGAGACGGCTGATGCCACCGGGAATATACCGGTCTGGGCCACACTCTCCATAAGGCCCACCAAACGAACTAGAGCGTCCTGAAGCACTGGAGTGGCTATGAACCCCTCCGAGACCTGAGCTCGTCCAACGGGTACAGTCTGAGATGGAACCTCCTCCTCGAAATCCACCCGAGGCTCCACTGCTGGTGTTGCTGCTCGAGCTCTAGGCTGAGGTCTGCCTCTACCTCTAGCGCGACCGATGTCTCGACCTCTGCCCCTAGTCGTAGCTGCCACAAGGGGGCTCCGGCTTCTGTCCGGCGATAGATGCAGTGAGTGTTCTCGCTATCTGCA